TGAGTTCTCTCATGTTCTCTAAGATTAGAGCTTGTAACAAAGGCTTTTTCACATAGAGGACATTTATATGGTTTCTCTCCAGTGTGGGTTCTCTCATGTTCTCGAAGATTAGAACTTGTAACAAAGGCTTTTCCACAAAGAAGACATTTATATGGTTTCTCTCCAGTGTGGGTTCTCTCATGTTTTTTAAGACAAGAGCTTGTAATAAATGCTTTTCCACAAAGACGACATTTATACGGTTTCTCTCCAGTGTGCGTTCTCTCATGTTGTCTAAAACAAGAGCTTTGAACAAAGGCTTTTCCACATAGATGACATTTATATGGTTTCTCTCCAGTGTGAGTTCTCTCATGTTCTCTAAGATTAGAGCTTGTAACAAAGGCTTTTCCACATAGAAGACATTTATATGGTTTCTCTCCAGTGTGAGTTCTCTCGTGTTGTTTAAGATAAGAACTTTGAACAAAGGCTTTCCCACACAGATGACATTCATAAGGCTTCTGTCCAGAATGAATATGCTTATGTCTAGTTAAAGATGAAAAATACCTGAAGTGACTCCCACACTGATTACAGACAAATGGATTCTCTCCTGTGTGAGTTATCTTATGGGAACGAAGATGTGAGTTTCGACTGAAGTTTTTCCCACACTCATCACATTTATAAGGTTTCTCTCCAGTGTGAATTCTCTGGTGTATGCAAAGCTTCCTTCTATTATGGAAGCATTTATCACACTGATTACATTTATAAGGTTTTGCTTCCATGAAAGTTTTCTGGTGTCTATAAAGGTCGCTTCTATGACTGAAATGTTTTCCACATTCATTCCATTTATAGGGTCTCTGTCCAGTGTGAGTTAAGACATGTTGAGTCAATGTGTAGGTCTGACTGAAAACTTCATCATACCCAATATGTTCAAAGGGGTTTTCTCCTGGGTGATATTTCGGCTGTTGGGAAAGAGATGAGACTGTTATAGGATTTCTCAGATATATTTATCCACTCAGTTCTCTGAATATGAATTCAGTTCTATATAAATTCTAGGCTGGCCATTCAGTGATAATCTCTAATTAAAATCTTCCCCAGGTTACTTACATGCACATGGGGGTATTCAACTCCCAGATGTACAAACATTTTTACTCTTGTGTACTTGTGTGGATGGAGGTTTCTGGGATTTGTCCAGCACAACCTTCTACCCCGACCCGC